GTTCAAGTGCCTGGGGTACATCAGGCCCCACCGTCCTCTGCTTTTCACTGCAGCCAAGGGGGGGACTGGCACACAGTATATACAGCTGGTTTGCTACACTCAATGGGGGAGCTTCTGGGGAAGTCAGGAAAGGACTCTGCTCTTTGCTGGGACATTCCTGGACCGAGGGAAACTCTGCCCTCCCCAAGCAGACTTGTTCTTGAATTGGAGGCATGGTGATGTTTTCATTTCTATAAGCCATATTTAAACAGTGTTAAAAAGAAAGTTGCATGTCTCAAAGGAATGCCCGGCCTTCGAAATCGTCTTTATTTCCAAGGATGCATTCAGCTTCCACATAGGTCCCACAAATGTTTTCACAGACTAGCAGTACAGGCCTTTGTTTTAGATCTGCCCAGCAAAAAGGCAGATGGTATCCTGGGAGGCCAGATAGGACAGCAGGGGGGCAACCTCACCAGTTTGTTTCCTGGTGAAGGGATGTTTTCCATCTCGACAGATTCTCTGTGACAGTTTTCCCTCAAATAACCCACCAGCCTCCAGATGCTGAGGATGCCTTGCTCTAAATTAACCTCTGCTGATTTGCTCCGAGGAGCAATTCTGTGCTAAAGCCACACCGATGGAAGAAGAGCATGTGCCAGGAAATGAAACCTTCCTCGTGGCGCTGTGAGAGGAAGAGGGGGGAAGGGGGGGGGCAGGGCTGTAGGTCATAAAGAACTGACTTAGTTATCTGAACACAGGACGGTTGTGAGTGCTAGAACTTCTTGTTGTTATGTAATGCCAGCATTAAAAATGAGCAAGTTCTTGGCATTGCAGACTCTGCAATTATTGCGAAGAAGGGATGCCTGTGGGCTAAAAATGGTCCTTGAACCCCTTTTGGGGGGACTCTTAGAGATCCTAAGGATGTGTCATTGAAATTTAGTTAAGAGCTGTCAGTTTATATGATATTTTTTTATTATGGAAAGCAACAAAAGAGGTTCTAGTATAAGCTTCTAGTATACTTGAATGCACCTATTTTACTTTTTTTTTTAAAAAAGGGGTATTAAAATTCGCTCTGATGTTGTCACTCTATATCCCCGGTGGCCTTAACTGTCAAAGACAGGAGGGAAAAAGATGGTGCTGTGTAATTCAAGGAACTCACTACTCAGATAACCGAAGGCAAAGAAATCAAACTATGAGTAGGAGGACAAGGCCTACGTGTGTATTTAAATTTCCCCCCATTATGAAAGTATACTGGTATTCAAGTCAAAAATTAATGATGAAACGAAATGCTGACATTTTCTAATACTAAATGGAGCCTAAAGAGCTTTGAATAAATCGTTTTAATCTTTTCCCCGCCTAAGCTTTCTAAAAAACAGAATAGAATCTTTCCAATACTCCAAAGTACATAGTAGGTGGAGAGAACCTGTCTTTGGCCTTAGTGAACCATTCATACATTTGTATTTCTTCTGGTATTTCTTTGACAACATGTATTCTGTCAACACATCTCACCTCATAAAGCAGAGCCATAGGGAGACATGGAGTGTGGCATTGGATGGACATTCAGTTAATGTGTGAGGACAGAACCCAGCCAACATCCCAGTTGAGCAGAGAATGCACTAGCATCTCCCTGGTGAATTGCTTGCAATGCCCCCTGGAGTTCCAGGTCACTTCAGATACCTTGTTGTTGTGAGGGAAAACAATTAAAAATAATTTAAGAGCAGTGGCAATGATTTGCAGTTTTTTCAATGTTTTTCGAAGTTTGTTTGGTATCTGAATGGAGAGGACATGAGCATTCATACCAAGTGAAGATGTCTAGATCTGTGAGAGCATCAACACTACAATCACACAAAATGAATGGAGAAGGCCTGTAGCAGAAGTTGACGTGTCCCTCTTTGGCTGTGGTCTCTGCCAGGCAGGAGATCCATTGTGGATGACAAAAAAAGGCCTCTCTTAGGCAGGAAACACATTTTTTAAAAAGCCATTCTTTTAATTCACTGGTGACAATAGGTTTATTTGATGGAACGGTATGTTTTTAATCTTTAAAGTGATTGGCCTCTTCTTCACTACTACTGCTAGTTTGGTATCCTCACTCTTGTTCCTCAGCAAACTCTCTCCCCCATGTCTCTTTCTCTTTCTTTTATTCTCATTCTCTATTTCTCTACCTCTCTGTCTTGTTTGAATTCTGCCAGATTTTACATTGTCTCTGTGTTCTGACTGTGGCTTATAACAACTTATCCAAAAAAAAAAAAAAAACCTGGCTCCTGGGCCTCTGGTTTGTTGTCTGTGAAAAGGGCAGGCAAATGGGCAAAATGTGGAGCCAGTGCTGGTACCAATGTTTTGTAAGACAGCTCTCTCTTTCTCTGAGGCATGTTGTGAGCACCTGCAACATAAATACTCCAAAGTACAGTAAGTATGTTAAGTGGGAAATTGCTGAAAAGATTTGAGATCTTCCTGTTCCTCTTTGTGGAGTTTGAGCTAGCTTCTGCTGAAAGCTAACCAGGAATACCTTGGAAAGGTGGCCTTGGGAAGAAACGTCATGCTCTCTGACCACTAATTCAAAGGCCACGAGGAGTCGCACTGGGCCTTTCTTCTCTCCCCTTCCTTCCCCATGTTGAGTACAATATAGTTCTGATGGCCCAGCCTTGCCAAGTGAGATAGGCACTGTGTGTTGTCTCCCAGCGCCAGTGTCTAACTGCTTGTATTCAAGTAGTGCTGACGCCTGTCCCTCTTCTTGGTTTTTGGCATTCAAGGAAAAGAAGCCTCTATTTTGATTTTTATATCAGGTATTGGACTGTGGCTTGCTGCAGTATTGCCTTATCTCTTCTGTGTCCGTCCGTCTCATCTCTTTGTCTAGGAACAGAATGAGTGTTTCCCCTGCCTGTCTTGCCTGAGGCCAGGCTGCTGGCTGTCCCTGGTTGCATGTGAGAACTCCCGCCTGTGGAAGTCGCAGAGAAGGAAGCTGGCCTCTCTTCCTTCCTCTTGAGTCTCTTCTGCGTTCTCCCTTTGCCTTCCCACCTTTCCTGCGCACTGTGATCCTGTGCTCAGCATTGGGGTTGCGCGGGGGAGGAGGGGGGGAGTTTGCTATGCTATGTGAGAGTGAGGGAACCATCCCGCTTCCTTCCACCTTCCCGAGAAAGAGACACCATTGCTTGCCTCTGCAATAGCTGCTTGTTGATTACATCAGGCTTTTGCTGGGGTTGCCTGGCCTAATCCTGGAGTCAGTCCATTTCTCCCAAAGCTGCCCTTTCTGCTTGTGTCCAACGGCACTGCAAGGGGAGGGGCCAGAGCTATTCGACAGTGGTTGGTAACCTGACCAGCAAAGGATGATGGGAGGCAAAGCTTTGGGTGAACTCCACTTCACAGGTGGCCTTTGCAGGTGGAGGACTCTGCAGGGGCTTGCCATTTGTAATTGCCTCTGTTCCATTTTTACAGCCCAGATGAGGATTCCTGCCAGAAATTTGTGCCATTTGTTGGGGTAAGTGCGTTGGAGTGCATCAGCCAGTAATTGCTAGAGCAGTTTTCCAACCTTGGGAACTTTAAAATGTGTGGACTTCAACTTCCAGAATTCCCCAGCCGTTTTCTTTGCTTCTTGAGATGCCTGCAGGAGAAAATTGAATGTGTATGCCTTGCATGAATACACATGAACTCCGTTGCAAGTTGGGTTTTTTGTTGTTGTGAAGCTGTAGGTGGGCCCATCCGGGAGGTTCTCAGGGTGTGGCCAAAAAGTCAAGATGGCAGACATGATGGTGCAATGAAATCTCCATCTGTGATGCACATAAAAAACAGGCAGCTTCTCTGACTTTTTGAACCCCCACTGTGGACCCCACTCCCACCCCCCGCACCCACCCCCCTCCCAGATCTACCTGTCAGGATGGTGGAATATTGCCTGTTGCAATTTCTTGGTTTTGAGCAATTTTTTCCTCCCACACAGGTGGTGAAAGTGGGACTTGTGGAGCAGTCCTTCAGCACTTCAGGTGAGAGGTGGGCACGGGTGGTGATAAAAGTTGGGTCTTTGAGGCAACCCCCTTGCCTTGTTTTCACTCCTGCTTTGTGTCCTGCAGACGAGGGAACACTTGGGGTAATTATGGGGCAGAGAGCTGAAGTCACGCTATGGCAACTTGCCTCAACTATAACTTCTTCTGGTTTTCCACATCACTGAGGCCTGGGCTTTTGAGAACAACAACAGAAACAAAAAAACAAAACAAGAGAGGCAAAATGAATCCAGGCCTGGTCATTCTTCAGTAGAATCATGGCAGTTCTCACAATTGACTGTATTGATATTTGGGAAGCTCCTCTTTAAATCCACTTGTCCTTTTCAATCTTTTCCTGATGCCATTAAGGCTTCAAATTGAGGAGAGCTAGGACCCTTCCCCCTTTGTCCTCACATTCTGTCCATCTCATTCTCACTCCTCAACCACCATCCATTTAGCTGGGAAGTCTGGAGGGGGAATCATTATGGCTGCATCTGTTGTCTCGTTTGGTTTTTGGATCTGCTGAAAACTGCAGTCATGTTCAGGTGAATGTGATTGCATCTCTCCTTCATTACCGAACCCATCATATAACATGGAGGAGAGACAAGGAGGTGGGGGGAGAAAAACGTAGTGAATAGGCCGATGTTCCTCTACCTTATTTTTGGCGTTCAAGCAAACATCTGAACATCAAATGGTTCTGAATGCCCTCCAAGAGAAGCATTCACCCACACCCAGTTACGGCAGGCAGAAACAGCTTCATGTTTTAATTATTGTACTTTTGTTACTTTTATTATCCTATGGGTGCTTTTAATTGGTTTTTCAGATCATTTTTACTGTTTTTGTTCTCTGAGGTCTTTTGGGACAAAGAGGGTGTTTTGCCAAGTTTCAGGGTAGTCCAGGCAATCAGTTCTTTTGGATCTTGAGACAAGAAGTATACAACGAATAAGGAGGATTTAAGCTTTATTATTGACTTAAGCAGACAAATTTAAAAGCATAACATAAAAAGCCTATATTGTACACCAAGCAAGATGATGCCAAAATCTCTTACAAGCTATCAAGAGATCCTTAATGACAGCAGATACCCCTCCAAAGTCTGGCCAATTTCCCCAGTACCCTGTGCTAGGCTCCGTGCAGAAGCTTCCCGCTTAAAGGCCGGGAAGGGGCTTGTGAGCCCAGCTGAGCCTCGACCAGGCAGTGACGAGGGTCTCGTGGTCTGGGAAGGGCGCTTGCCTGGAGAGGCCGGTGGATGGAGCCCCGGCAGGCCGTTGGCCCCTCGTTCTCTGCCGAGAACTGCTTGACCCCAGTCATCGTAGGCCACGAGGAAGAAGCGTTGCCTGGTGCGAGCTCTGCTTTCCTCCGTTGCGGGCAAGAGGAGGGGGCTTCCCTTTTCCTCTGGACGTCGGTCTTTCTCAGAGCGCTTCTAGATGCTGCTTAACTGTTGTGGGTGCCTGAGATACAAAAATGCTGTTTTAACCCCCCTTGAATGTGCCACTGTTGCAGGAAGCATAGCCCTTAATAAAGGACTGTTAGCAGCCCAAAAAAAAAGGCCAGTATGAGGTTTTCATTAAAATCTGGCACCATGACTTCTAAGGCTCTGCTTCTAAGGTCAAGAGACTGCAAGATCTGACTTTGACAGGGTGGCACATGACTCTGGGGTGAGCGCTGGCATTCTGGAACTTTCACAGATAAGGAAAGCTTTGCAGCTATGTAAAGACATCCCCCCCCACTTCTTTATTCCGCCAGAGTGTAAAGCAAACAGGTTAGCTCAAAATCAGCTCTAAACTTTTAAACTTTTCTTAATATGAAGGAGAAATCAAATTAGGTCGCTCAACTCCTCAAAATACAGTGGTATTCCGCATTGCCACTACAGAGAGACACGGTGCTTCTTCTTGTTGTTTTGTCTTGTGACTTGAGAAGCGGTGTCGTACCGTTAGAGGAAAAAGTGTTGTTTTGACATTTGTCTTTGAGAAGACTCAAAAGGGCAAGCATGCATTGTTACTGAGTAAAATTAGATGTCTCTCCCTGCATTCTCCCTCCCTTCTCTCTGATAAAGGAATAGGAATCAAATAATAACACTTGGTAGTTATTGTGGCTCTAGGGCAGAGGTGCAGCCAATTTATTTGTGCACCACATTTTTTACCAAGAGATTGTGCTGAAAATACTTGTTCAAACATAAATAATCACTATATCAAATGTGTCCAATTACATGAATTCAGTTACAGTTCACTTGGAAAATACCAAGTTTAATTAAGCATAAAATAAATCATGTACATTAATCATGTCTAGTAATAATAGCACATTCAGTAGTTCGTATCTATAAAGACCAAACAGAAAAAAGACTGAAAAACGAAGCATAGAAAGTGGGAGAACGTGGGGGGTTTTTTCAGCCAGGAAGAGATTCATTGGAATCCTATGTCCGGAAACCACAGAAGACGATCATCTTGGATTTCCCCTTCAAGCTAGCGAGCGAGCAGGGCATCAGGAATCTCCAGATGCAATGCTCTTTTGGTTCCAGATGTGGGGAAAAGCAAACACATGCCAACACCATGCCACGGTTTCTTTTGCTGAATGTTTCCACATTGTCTGGGAACATAGCACATAACTGTTGTAAAACTGTTTTCAAACTACAGTGGCTGGGTTGACACAATGGACTAAGCTGAAATCACATTGTGAAGTAGGCTTGTGTCCTTGTTCCTTCCATAGCAGCTACCTTGGTAACTTTTATAGGGTAAGGCATATGGAAGCAGCCCAGCTCTGATAGCAGATAGAAATCTCCTTTGCTCCTCATTCCTCCCCAAGTGCTCTGGGCAAAAAAGAGAATATACCGTAATCAGGTGCTTTCTCACAATTTTTCCTAGTTGATTCTGATGATGCTACCATTTGCTCCACCTCACTGCTGAGCTCATCATCTCCATCTGGTGGAGGGATCCCTTATACCAAGGAAGCTATAGGAACCCCTCCGCCCTCTCCTTCTGTCAGCAGTGGGCTCTCAGGAACTGGGTAAGCACTTTTCAATTTACTTGTGGGCATTTTGCGATACTATTAACTGGATAGAGTTCTTTTGTTTAGCAATTTTAGGTTGGCATAATCTCTTTGGTTAGCACGCTGCACCAGGACTTATGTAGCGTTACAGGGTTGCCACTCTAAAACTGAAATCAGAATCTGATTTTGGACCAGAACCCACTTTTGGTGAGGGCATAAAGCCTTTACAATGCTTAAAGCACCATTTCACTCCTTAATCTTTCTTGGAGCACTTGGGGAAAAATGGAGAGAGGAGAAGAGTCGAGTCAACTGCATCATTCTTAAGGAGGCTCAAGAGATTGCAAAAGGATATGGTGTTCTGCTAATTCAGTTCTTCCTAGAAGATTGAATGATTTTAAGACAGAAACAGATGAGCAAAAGAATGTACTTATCCAGTGAGTATATCCTTATTGTAGAAATGCTGGAGGTATTGCCAGAATTCTTTGTTTGGGGACCATAACAGTATTGGCACAGAAATGTGGCTCCATGAGAAAAGAAAATCTAACGAGAAAATTCAACTATTGAATGGCTGGAGACCACTAAAGGAATGAGATAATATCAAAGACTGATTACAGTGACCCTGGGCTGTAAAACAACAACTTGGAAAATGAAAGGGGGCAAGTCATTCTATTTATAAAGGTACATGAATTGCAGCATTTTTACTCAGAGGAAAAACACTGCCGAGTGAAAGTTAAAAGCAAATGTTAACAGCGCATGAGAGATCAGAACGCTTCAGAATTAAACTAAATAACAGCATGTTGATCTCTTCTTCTCTTCTAGGCTGGAGTGGTACGCCATCTTGTCCTGCGGAGGAGTATACAACTTAATTCCGATGGTTTTTCTTTTTCCCTTCTTTCAGCAATTTGAGCCCTGGTGTGGAGGTGATGGGTCTGCAGGTGGACTACTGGACAGCACAGGGGCCAGAGAAGAGAAAAGAGGCTGAAAAGCGGGAAATAGGCATCAAGAACACCCTGAAAAGCAACTTCCGCTCCCTGCAGGTCAGCCGCATCCCTAGTCCAGGAGAGCTCGCCCCACCTAACACCATGGCAATGACTGTGGTCACCAAGGAGAAAAACAAAAAAGGTAGTCAAATCATTTTTTCCCCTCAGGTTGTCTCACCTTGTTTGCCTTTAGTCACCCTGAGTGCCCTACGGGTATAAATTAACATAATTCATTAAAAAAATGCTTGTGGTTTGACATGACTCTGGAATTAGCTACTTCGCCCATTAATGGCTTAGTAGAATTTGGACTTAGCTCTGTTGAGCCATGATCTTTTCTTGGCAGTGATGTTCCTAAGCAAGAAACCCAAGGAGAAGGATTTGGAACCCAAAAGCCAAGTGATCGAAGGGATCACTCGCCTGATCTGCACAGCCAAGCATCAAAACACCATGTTGCGTGGTAAGTGGGTCGGCTCAAACTTTTCCAGTTTGGGACCTATCTGGGCAGAGTTCCCCTTCTACTTGACAAGGTCAGAGAACAGGTCTCCACGTGGGTCCGTCAAGTCTGTACACTTGCTTTCCCCAATCTGGTGACCTCCAGATGGGTTCCGGTCTCCATATATCTGAAGACTTTCAGCTTGAGGAAGATACTTCACAAAAAAGCTAGGGTTAAATTCCTTCACCAGCACCATCACGCAGTTTGTTTATATAATATGGCTCTTTTCTCCCTTCACACATGCTCTAGAGCTTGACCTAGATATTTATCCTGCCTTTACCGCTCCTAGAATGATAATGTTCTGTCATCTTTCTTACAGTTTGTATTGATGGTGTGGAGTGGAACGATGTGAAGTTTTTCCAGCTGGCTGCACAGTGGCCAACGCACGTCAAACATTTTCCAATTGGCATCTTTGGCTACTCAAAGAGTGTGTGATATGAAACAAGCCGTATGGAAGAGCCTGGGCTCTGCCAGATGGACCAGGAGGAGGAGCATCCGCTTCCTTTGCTTCTGAAGACTGACTGCCCATATACAGCCGACTCTGGCAAGGGCTCTACTTGCTCCATTTGTTCTGTGCAGGGAGCATCCCAATTTGCTTTATGTCTCACCCATGAGTTTTTTAGTTTAACGTGAACTTGGGTTGTAGGAAAGGGAAGGAAGACAGATGCACACACAAAAACACAAGAGAGAAATGGCTTTTCCACACAGACTCTTGGGACTAGATGATCAGGCCTGTCTTCTCTGTTCATGTGACATCAGGAAGGAAAGAGGCTGAGCAGGGTTGAATAGCTTCCCAAGTTGCTTGTGGAAGGTGGGACAGAGTTCCTTTCCATGCCTTGTCTAGCTGGCTTGGGCAAGAAATGGGAAGGCAGGTCTTCTTTTAACTTGCTGCTACCTTGTAAATCTCTAATGGGGAAAAAAAATGTGTGTTAACATCCTTTTCCTAGAATTGCTTAGCCAGGCTTGCCCAGAAGCATTCTGGACCAGTTGACCTCTGCCCGTAAGTGCCAATGGGCAGCCCTCTATCTCAGAATTCACCGAGGGCTTTGGCATCTTGCAGTTTCTTTTTAACATGAAGCCCTGTCTCTCCTCTTATTTGGAGTGGAGCTGGCATTGTTCTCACACAATTGGAATGCGTAGAGCAGAGTATCTAACACAAGAGTAAGGAATTGATAACTGAGACAAGCATGATTTCTGGATCTGCTCCAGAGGCTGCTTAACAGGAGGTGGTCCGCGAGCCGTTTTGTGTTGTTCTTACCTTCTTAAGCAGCTAGAGGGACTGTTTCCTCCATCCATCAGCTGTGAGCACAACAGAAAGAAGATGGCACATAACTGGACTTCAGCCAGGAGAAAATGGTCCAGGCTGTGCCGTGAACCAATAGACAAAAGAGTACTCTTTTTTCCCAGCCATGTAAAGGAAAGAATCGTAGGCTAGATTCTGAATGAACCACCCTTTCAATAAAATAGACGGGAAAAACTTTGCTAAGCAGTATTGGGGAGGGGAAGATGGAAGGGGGCGGGGAGCTATAAGCTCTTCTTCAGAGTAAGAAAAGGTATCTGGAGGGACGGGGTTAGGCCATTTTCTCCCCAGAAGTATTTTAGCTCTGCGTAAATGTTGCATATTTGTTTCCTTTGCCTGTACCACACTGCTGTGCCCTGCTGTATAGGTCAGGCGAAGTACTAATATCTAGAGCAGGGGTGTCCAACCTTGGCAACTTTAAGACTTGTGGACTTCAACTCCCAG